TCCACCTGCCCGTGCTTGCTTGCACCGAGTACATGGGACCTTGAAGTTGACACCCGTTACAGTACGACCCGACGATCGAAGATTCATACCGAAAGCAAGTCGTCATTGACGGCCAGCCGTGCATGCTCGAAGTGCTCGATACTGCCGGACAGGAAGAGTACACGGCGCTACGAGACCAATGGATCCGTGACGGAGAAGGATTTGTCCTAGTCTACAGCATCTCTTCACGCTCATCCTTCACCCGCATTAAGCGATTTCATCATCAGATTCAACGAGTCAAGGAGTCGTGCGCATCGTCGCCGTCGTACCCCGGCTCACCCATCTCTGCCGCCAACCCCCAGTTGCCCGTGCCTATCATGCTCGTCGGCAACAAGAGCGACCGAGTCACCGAGCGAGAAGTTTCAACGCAAGAAGGCCACGCCCTCGCACGCGAGCTAGGCTGTGAGTTTGTCGAGGCATCAGCTAAGAACTGTATCAATGTCGAGAAGGCCTTCTACGACGTAGTTAGGATCCTACGTCGACAGCGGCAACAATCTTCACGACCCTCAGAAAGGTCCAGTGGCCGGACGCGAACAGGCAACGGCGACGCGAGAGGCGGTGATCGCGACGATAGACACCGAAGGAAGAACGAGCGAAGCAAGTCCAAGTGCATTGTGTTATGAGCGACCACGCCCGCACTGTAGGAAGAATACTTCCGCCAATCAAGAGGAGGGAAATAAGACGACAGTAAAAAAAAAATGAAGACAACCAGAAAGCAAAGGGGGCCGGCGACGAGAAGCCGGCGACGACAACCGCGGATGAGGGGTCGGCAATGGCGCGACCCCTCACCCACGACGGGATATGCCCGCCGACTTGGAGATGATTGGCGAGACACAGCGGGAGGCACGGAGAGACGGACTTTATTCTTTTCCTGCAATTTTAGATGGCCATATGCCCAACGACGAGGGCGGCATGACGACGCAGCATCGAACGACGAACGAAAGCAGAAGCAGTTCCGCACCGGCGAATGGCGTACGAACAAAAAGAGGCATATTCTTGGGGCGCTAGGTTATCTATTGACATTTATACTATTCTTATTTCCAAAATTTACGACCAAGACCTGGAAGGCGTTATTGTCTGTCAACCGTGGGGTTCTTCATAGTCGTGTATGACGACGTAGGTTCTGGAAGTTACCTATCATGTCTTGGCTGGCTTGTTTGGCTATCTGTCTATCTATGCCGTGGGGTTTCTCGAGTTTCAACTCTCAGTCTCGGCTGGACGTTTGTGGTCTACCTTGTCAACGGTCTCCTGTTTGGCAGTCGACTTTTGGATGGACCCTGGCAGGGAGGTACAAGACGACGTTTCGTTCTTGCATGACTCGATTGGGGAGGGGATACGAGGAACTAGTTGGTCGAGGTCGAGCACGAGCAACTCGAATGTCCATGATGGCTGGGATTGACTTGACGTGTTTCAAGCTTTGCCCCCATGGAAAGACGGGTACCCCTCGGCGGGCAGGGACAGGCGGTTCTGGAACAGCACAAGCGAAGTGCGAACGGCGGGTAGCAGAATGCATAATCTTGGCTTGTCCATGCTCACATCTAGGGGCGGATGGGGTGGCTTAGCTGGCCATGGCGGCTGGATCTGGCAGCAAGCGATGCAGAGAAGGGCAGGGGTGATCTGAAGCGTGGGAGGGCGTGGGCGTGGGCGTGGGCAGCTGGACTAGGCCGATGTATCTAAATGACGGCTCGCCATACAAGAGCAAGATGAAATGAAGATGACCTGAAAAGCACCGAGATTTTGGATGATCCCCTGTATTGGGAAGTTGTAGTTGTGTCATTAGCGATGGGGATCCATGGGATGGGATGGAGGGACCCTTGGTTAGCGGACGGCCCCATCCACGGATCCATCCATCCATAGATGGAATGAATGAATGAGTGAATGAATCGAGGTCTAGCTTCGTTTACGATTGTATTTACATGGGAGCACTTTTGACACTTTGACGAGTCGACACTGTTGCATGTTGTCGGAGGTGATGGATCCCTGAGTGCGGCGCACGGAGCAGGCAAAGCTAAAGCTGGGGGAGACATGCGATCCATAGGTATCCATAGGTAGGTAGATGGGCGCAGCCGCGTGCGTGTTGTTTCTGATGACGATTTCGAAACAGTTTCCCCCCAGCTAATGTCATGCGCAATCAGCTGAATCTCGTGTGTCTGAGGCTGTCTAGCATGTATCATGTCACGAATTGCTTCCCTCAAGGAGAGTGAAGTAACAGTGACAGTGGCTCTGGATACCAAAGACATGGAAAAGGCAGGGCTGTCGAATCCAACCCAAATCAAAAAATCTCATGGGCGTCGGTCCATCAGAGGTGGGGGTTCTCTTGACACCATCCCATCCATGCCATGCCATGGGGACGGGATGTCTCTTGTGTTGGTGGGGGATAGGCTACGTACGTGGGAGGGAAAGAAAAAGGCAGAGGTTGGCTCTTGTAGTAACTAATCTGCTGGTGGTCTGTATGGGCTGCCAACAAAGGTTCCCCGATGGGATAAGATGCGTGTACTCTATACAAACACGGACAAGTTTTGCTATCTGTTTGATTTCCTTCCACACCTTTTTTTTTTCTTTTCGCAAAATGTTGTGAACCTTTTTTTTTTTCTTGTTCCCCCCACGCAAGGGTCTACATGTTGAACCATGATCCCTCTCACACTCACATTCTCTAGATGGCGCCAAAGGGGTGGACTCTTCTTTTTTTTTGTTTTCTCCTCAAAGTACTCATGCTGTGACGACACATGCAAACGCACACGGGAGGAGTACATAGAAACACGATTTGGGGGTTACAGATGGTGGCGCTTTACCTTGGGAGAATGCAGGGTCGATGGAGGGAAACATGGCAAAAAACGGGCAGAAGTAGAAACGTTTCGGGATAACAAGCCATAATGGACATTGGTGTCCGTAACGTAACGTGAGACAATCAGATCTAATGAGAAAGCTGTCAAGCACTAGAGATGTCATTCATTATTTGTCCGGTCTTTTTTTTGAGGGGGGAAATGCTTCAACATGACAGGTTCATCAAGTGCCGGCCGGACCATTGCTACGAATGGAAACAAGAGCGATGGACAAAGTGCCCTCTCTCTCTCTCTGAGGTTGCGGCTTTTTTTTTTTTACTCATGTCTTGCAGATCGTCCTAGATACACATAGTGTAAGACGCTTCCACCGCTTCTAGCTTCATTCACTAACACAGAAGCATCCGATGCCGATGCTACCGGGTCGAACCTCCGAAGACCGCGCCGTTGAACGAAAAAAGTCGTCCATCCTTTCGGTAGCATCGCGCGAGTAACTCTCCACTTCTACTTGTCTCCCCCCCCTGGCTGGCGTGGAAAGTAAGAAAAGAGGACACTTTTTTTTTTCTGCTACATAGTAACGTTATAGTTATTTTCTGCTTGCTTTCTTTTTTCGTTCCTCGGATAGGACAAATCCCGAGAGCAAGTTTTCCCATTGTTTGCCTTTCCCCCTCATTGCCGCGCTTACTTAACTCCCCGAGACGGCGTCAACACCGGAGGAGGTCCGGCCGGAGGACGGTGTGCTGATCGGAGGCTAGCACACGGGACCAAGGATCGCTTGGGCCTACCCCTTGCGGCGAACAAGCGGACGCATGGTCACTTCTCTCCCTCCGACGATGGAACGTTTTTCTTAACCCATCTCCATGGTTCAATTGCGGATACAACCCTATGCTTTCCCTCATTCCGGTAGAATGGCGGAAGTGCACCAAAGGGGGAAGGTAATCAGGGGCACCAGAAAGAGAAACTTTTTTTGATAGAAGAAGCCCCCCGGGGAACAGGGGAGATTAGTTCCCGGAACCGGGGTGCCATACAATGAACCCTGGAACAAAGGAACAGAACAAAAAAGGACATCTAGGTTACGGACAGACCCGGATACTACTATGTAACTAGAGAGCTAGGCACTCACACGTAAGAGTTGAACGACATGACAGAATCTCCCAAAGTGTCATGACCTGCATTACCAAGCCCTTCCTTTCAACAGTTTTTAGAAATCAGCCCTGCATGAAGCCAAATGTTGGGGTTTGTAGTTGCAGAAAAAAGTCAAAAGCCTCTTCCCCCGATCAATAAAAGCCTCTTGGACGGGTAGCGCTAAACACAACCGCCCCTACCATACCCCTCCTCCTCTCTTTTTTCTCTCTCCCCGGACATCGAGATTAGCGTTGTTGGATCGGTTGAGGGAGTCATGGACGGGGAACACGTCTTAATCTATTGAATGCATGTCAGAGTGCTAACAAGACAGGCAATGGCTTGGCTAGCAGCCAAGAATGGCTGTGACTCCAGAACCAATGTTGCTATTCATCATCACGAGATTCACACACACACACACACACACACACCCCTCAAAAAAAGGTGGCAGAAACATGTCGAGACGACCGACTAGAAGCCAACGTTTCGCCACAACCAAAGGGAGGAAGAGCCCACCTCTTCTAGCTCGTTTCACCATTATCCAAGAAGCTTTCTTCTTTTTGACGGTCAACGGCTTTCCATTCCAATGCCTTGTTTTTTTTTTTTCAGACGACGCTTGACAACAACCGTAAGCCTCGGTTTTACAACTCCCGAGTCGCGAATCATGTCCGTCGGGGAAATTGATGTCATTGACCGATCATGTCGGCCTAGTGATAGTATCGCCCTAGTCTTTGGTAGCGGCCGAAAACTGGCGATGGCTTCGTCACAATCTCATGACGCACAACGTTAATCGGTCATTGTCGGCGGCCGCAGTAGGACGAAAGGCAGTCAAACGAGGGTAAACTCTACCAAGGACGACTCGTCATGTTGAATGGCTTGTCTCCTCATCAAGTGTCCTCGAGTCAAGACCATATCTCCAGGCTGAGACATGGCAACGACCACCACTATCAAGCCTACACTACTGAATAACAGGACTTCTCACAAGGTCAGGCTCACTCACATGCTGGAAAGGGCACAGAGGCACAGGCACACACAAATCATTCATGTCAACAAGAGTATGTACGTGATAGATCATCTCTATTCAATAGACACATAGAGACCTCCAAAACCTCCTGGCATCCTCGGAGCCATTTGCCGCGGCTCCCTTTCCATGACGCCATAGTCCATACCCAAGAACCGTCGCCGCTATTTGAATTGTAAACACAAAAAAAAGGGGGGTTGCTATATCCCAAGTGAGATCGATCTGGAATTGTCTATCCAAGAAAAAATTGACATTGAAGTGAAGAAAAGCAGATTGTAAGATATATCCTCTATCCAACCCGAGGCTAGATTCGTGACATCGAACAAAATACTCTGATATATAACGACAAGGAAATTCCATAATCACTCCTTTGTCGCGTGCTGGTCCCCGAACGGACTGCTGTCTCGCCTTTGGGATGACCCAGGCTTCTCGTTCTCGACTGCCGACTCCTCAATCACAGCTCCGAGGCTGGGCGCCTTGTTGGACTTTTGAGGACTGGGTCGGTCGGGGGGGTCTGAAAAGGGACCTTGGTCTACTGAGGGAGAGTCTTCGATGATGGTGATGGCACTCGAGTCCCGAGTAGCGTTCGCGCTTGGTGTTGTGGGTCGCGAGGTTCCCAATGATGATGATGCTGTTGTTGAGCCAGTCTCGGACTTGTTGCTTCCCATATCCACCTTCTTTAGTGTTCCAACCTTGACCACCTGTGCACGAGCCTGCGTAGCAGTGTTGGCGCTGTTGAGGAATGTCGAGCCCACGCTGAAGGCACTGGCACCGCTCTTGGGACGACCTCCGCCGAACTTCTCAAAGTCGATGCTGGGAACTGGGGGAGCATTGCTCTCGAGGCTGCTGTTGCCAACGGACTTAACACTGACAACGGTGGGCTTGGCGCGCATTCCAGTCTGGGCGGGTGTGAGCACCTGGGCCTGCTTGCCGTAGATGGTAGAAGCAACACTGGATCGAGGTGCGTATGAGGTGCGGGCGTATGAAGTTCGGTCAGAGTAGCCAGAGAGACCCGAGTAGGTCGAGTCTCGGAGGTCGCCGGGGACAAAGAAGTGCTGGTCGTCGTTTCCTTCGCCTCGGGCGGCAGCGGCGTGGTGCATAGGGATCGGAGGAACAGGGGGGACAAGAACGTTGGGTGACGTAGGAGTGGCTCGGTTCGTAACGCCAGGAATGTAGGCGATCTGAATAATGTTGGAGGCTCGGGTGAGGACGGTGGAAGCGATCGAGTGAACGGTGTGTGTCGAAGGTGGCCGGGTTCCCCTTGAGGCAGCATCCTTCTCTGAGCCTTGAGGAGCATCCACGTCTTCAACGTAGATGGAAGTGGGAATCTGTGACCTTTTGGGTCTGACACAGAACCTCCATACTAGATAGGTGACGGCGACAATCACGACTACACCACCGACAACACCACCAACGATACCGCCGATGTTTGGGCCGTCAGAGCCTTTGCTGGATGCGGATGCAGACTTCTTGTCGCAGAACGATGTAGGGCACTTCTGGCACTCGAGAGGTACGGTAAATCGGCATTCACTGCCTTCGGGGCAGCTAGGGCATTCGAGTTCGGTGCTTTCATCGCATTGGATACACTTGCCGTCTCGAGGAACGAGTTGGTACGCTAGACAAGATGATTAGAAGCCGTCGACAGGCACACAGGAGGTTCCATATTAACTTACCCATACTAACTTCGTTCAAATCTCTCGCGACGACATATCCAGGTCCATCCAGACCTCTGGACGAGAAGTAATGAAGCCCCTCCATGTTGATATCCAGTAATGAGAGACGAGTAAGAGGTTGTGGTTGATCGATAGCCCCGGATTGGCAGGTGTCGATCACTTGAGATGATCAGTCAAGCCAAGTTGGGTGGTTGTCGGAGGTGGCTTGGCGATGGGTGTATTTCAAAGGTGGTTTGCGACAGACGGTTGATAGTATAAAAGAAAACAAGGATTGAATGGTTTGACGAGTCCTTTCCGCGCGAGAATAATGTGTATATTTTCAGGCTCGAGTTGAGAAGGGTCGACAAAGTGGTTGGAGAAAAGTCGAGGAGAGTAAGAAACGAGTGGATTCTGAGGCTAGCTCGGATGAAAAGAAGGCTGGTTAGGAGGCGCAAGAAGGAGACATAATCGACCAAGGCGACGGCTCAAGTAGCGAAGTGAATGGATAAGAAGTAAAAGAGTCGTCGGAGGCTCCGCTCGAGTCGATGGATTTGACGGTTGACGGTCGATGGATTTGCGTGCGTTCAAGTCGGATCGTTTGGACGGGGAGAACGATGAAGGAGCGAGGGAAATCCAAGAGGGCCTGGAGGCAAGACTCTTACTCAAATCAAAGAAAAGAGTCAAGGAAAGCGCCGGGAACTTGGTCTTGCGACCGACTGGGCGAGCGCTGCAACCGGGCACATTGGAAGCACGAGGGGACGGGGTGACAGGGGCAGCCCGCCACACTAGCATCCTTTCGGCCATAGCGAAACAATTAAACGGCGCGCCATCTATTCGTACTGTGTGCTATGGTGCCGCTGCCCCTGATTCTGGTGTCCGCGGGGTCAGTGATTGTGTGGAATGTCCTTGACCATCCCGGCCAGCAACCCACAGCCCAGTGTTTGAGGCCCCTGATCATTCCGGATATGCACTGTGCAGTTTGACGAACTGGGCACTGGGCTGGTACCTTGGACAACGAGCGATTTGCTGTCAATCGCAAGTACCTCCCATCTCTTTCCCTGGTCCAAGCATGAATGAGCCCAGGTTATACCTCAGGTACCGCAGACCACCAGCCAGCTTCAGGTGAACACCAACAGGGCCGCCCGGATGGATAGATGCAACTACGGACAGCTACCGACCGAGACGAGACGTACGGTACGGTTCGAGAGGCTCAGGGCCCTGCAGGCATCACCAACGGCAGCGATCGAATGAGCTGCGAGAAACACCTCCTCACGATGCAGTGTCGCCATCTCCATCATCTAGATCCATGCCTCGCTCTGGCCAACCACGAAGACAAAGGCCTCTTCTCTTCAGGCCTCCCTCCTCCACTTGGCGAAATCCACCCCGTGGGTAGCACAAACTCCTCTCCACCGCCCTCTTTCACAACCGGCTGGCCAGTGAGTGAGTGGCGCGAGTTTACATGCCAGACTCGGGCGGGCGTTGCAGAGCAGAAACACCTTTTTTTTTGCCCGCACGCGCGTCCCTCAGTTCGAAACAAACCCCCGATCCAGGACCCTGCCGAGGAGTCGGGTCCCCGCTTGAAGGCATTCCAGAGAGACCTGATCACGGCGTGATGCGGTGAGTCTCTGCCGTGGCAGTGGCTATGGCTCTTAGCGAGTACATTCGTCTTGTTGAAACGGTTGCAGTGCTTGGTGTTGTTTGTATGGCTCGCTCAGCAACAACGCATCTCGAGCCAACCAGTAGCTCATTTGCCCATCAACGAATCACAGCACAGCCATGCGGCCGCTTTGCTGGCCTCATCTCACTTTGCAGGTCCAGAAGTTTGTTCCGAGCATATTGACATGGAGTTGTTTGTTCTCGTCCAAGTCATTGAGCAAGTTTACTCGGACCCTGTTGAAATATCTGATGTTTCCTACCCTAACGTTGGGTGTGATCCCGTTTCGATTCTCTCCGGATCACGCATGCTACGCTGCAGGGCAGGCAGAAATCTTGCCATTTCACCGTGCGTCTTATATCCAGCTGTATTATACCGATAATGATCGTCTTTATTAACCACTCCTGGGTTTGGATGTTTCTTCGCTACTGATCAGGCTTGTCGTCCAAGTACAACATCCAATGTTCTTGGCTGTCACTCACATGGCCGTTGGGCCTTGACCGGACTGGGCTACCAAGCATCAAGCCAGGCGAGATCTCCCGCAACCGTGATAGAAGCTGTCCTCCATTCACCGTCCACTAGAAGCATCGTTCCCTTCCGGTAGCGACGGTGGCTGATATGTGGCATGACGTGCCGTCGTTGAACACGAAGGCTCATATTGACTGAGAATGGAACTCGGCATCTCGTTGCCTCGGTGCGCTGTCACGCCCACTTGCCGATAATCCAGGAACAACACTTGATTCCAGATAATGGCTGCTAGATTACGTGGGCAGCCGAAGAACGCGTCATTTTTTCATATTTTAAGACTTCGGAACCTCGATGCAGAAATAAACATTTCTCGATCCTCGTAATGTCGTCGCCGCAGCATGCTTCCAGACATTCAGCGGGCCGTAACCAGGGAACGACAGACATTTAGGGTAGCACATGTCGTTTCCCGTCCTAATGCATGAACACACGGACTCTGAGATGCTTCGATAATACAGCCAGTGGCTGATGTCTCGGGTGGTGAACCGAGCACGGGAGTTACATGCTTCGGGGTTGAGCACGAGAGATGGTGACGGCAAGTCAAATTGGTTCACTGTTCAACACGGGGCATGGCCATCCGGAGATTTCCTCATCCAGGACACATGTAACGTGTGGTAGGGCAAAGCTGTAGCCCAAAGCTGTATCCCCCTCAAGCAAGGTCGACGCTGTTGTTGGCAGAGGAATACGGTCTCCACAGCGTCTGGCCTTACATATATTGTCGAGGGTCGGCCGTCACAGATTATCTCGAGATTATCTCCACCAGGGAGTTTCAGAATAAGCCCTTGGCCAAAAAGGAATTCCGTCTGAGAATCGCGGCATTTGCGAGCCCTACAGTAGATGTGTCCCTGGCTGGAAACGTCTCTCGGCGTTTCTTCTTGAGAGAATAGACCTGGGGAACAACGAGCCCATTTGGGCGGGCCGCCCATAAGCTGCTGACGTGAGGCGGCGAACATGTCTTACACGCAGAAGAGCCTGGACGCCATGGGCATAGTTCGGACTTGATCGCATCCGTATTGCTCGTCGACTGAGGGTTATCGATGCATCTTTATCAGGCACCACGACGCAGTCAGATTTGCCGAACCAGTGGCCTTGCCCTATGCCCCAGAGTTGGGGGCTTAAAACTAGGAGCGGAGTGAAGCCGTTTTGTTGCATCCAAAGCTGACAGCTGCCATACCTCCCCATACCCTGGCGGCTGAACAAAGGAGAGGGAGAGCTGGAGACCAAAAGGCGGCCAACGCCGTACTAGCGTCTTCACGACAACATGCCTGCGCCCCAATCTCGCACTCCAGCCCCAGGCTCGGCTCATCCCAGTCAATTTCACCAACCAGGGGGGCTATTTTTGGAAGCGCGACTGTGGCAGATTCTGGGTACGGGAGGAGGCTTTGGCTCTGTTTCGGACTAAGAGCCAAGTTGACCCAGTCGGCCGACTCAAGGGGGGATCTCCATTTGGACTTTCCAGATGTCACTGCAACTCGCCAGTGGACGGGTTCACAGAATGATGCCCGGTACTTGTGGGCTTTGTATGGCAGGGAAGAAACACAGACACAGACACAGGCACAGGCACATGCCTTTTCTGGGCGTCCAGTCCGGGTCCCAGCACTGTGCGTTGGCAAGTCAGCACCAACCTCTCAACGTCCAGCCCAGCCAGCCCAGCCCAGCCAAGGGCATGGGCAAATCTGACGCTGACAAGAACAAACTGCGACCTAACTCTGTAGGTGAGCGGGCTTGCCACGAGGCGTTCCAGCAGGCCAATGCAATGGTCAATGGAAAGGATCGTAAGCCGGCAGGGCTGGGTGCGGGTACCATACGTACCGCTCGCCGACTAAGGGTGAAGGACTGAGGCGTGAGGATCACTGCCCTAGGAGGCTCGACGGGACCAAACCTGCGAAGCCCGGGCCCTTTGGGGGAAATTAGGGACCATGCTCCGTACCGTACAACGCATACACGCATGGCTTCTGGCTGTGGCGGGAGAAAGGGGATGGTGACGGCGCTGAAGGGACCAGAAATGGCACCAGACCTTCTGGAAGGTGACCTTTCTTCCCCCATCAGAGCCTGCACAGCGGAATTGGAGGGGGACGATGAGCAACGAGGCCCGAGCATCAAGTACCGTAGGCAGGTAAGCAGCAGCCGCCGCTGTATACGATTCCAAAGGCGGCGTGGCATCTCCCGGCGGCATGATCCATGGATGTGCAATGCAAGGTGTCAGGGGTGCCCGTCAAAGTCAAGCAACGTCTCCATTTCTTTGGCACTTTGGTTTCTCCATTAATTTGCCGGCCAAGAGATCCAACTGTCTGTCTGACAGTAAAAAAAATAGTGAGCCGCGTTTGTACGGTGAGCAGAAGCCCCAAGGATGGTTTAGAGGTGGCTGATGAGTGAGAGCCCAGCCGCCGCCGCCTCCTCCAGCCAAGGCACCCCGAATTGGGGATGACGAGCCAGGATGCTGCGTCCGGTAGGGAGGAGGCTGACTTGCTGGAGGAAGCTGGAGCTAGCAACGCGCCTCCTGGAGGTGGCCGTCGAGACCTGCAGAGGACCAGTAAACTCTGGGCGGGCTGCCCGTCAACGCTCGCTCAGCGGGCATTGGAGGAGGCTGCATCATTGGGCGCGGTTGCGGAGGTCTCCTGAACAGGGCTATCCGGCTGCAGAAGCATTCAGAAAGGGTTCCCAGGCTGTGTGCTTGCTTGCTGCTTGCGAGATGCAGAATTGGAAGCAATTGGATCCATCTTCAGCCTCTCAGAGTCGGGCGGCGTGTCTCTGAGTGGGAACAAGGATGCAAAGATGGGATGGATCCTCCCCCCCCCCAAACTTACGGCGGAGTGGCTCAGCATGCTTAGCGCGTAGCGCAGCACAGGTAGCCAGTCCCCTATTCCAGTCCATCTTACGCTCTCCATCCAATCCATTCGAGCACTGGACAGCAAGCTTGCTTAGGTTGCAGGGCCGTGAGCCGTGGAGCAAAACGAGATTCGTCCCCGGGGCCCTTCATCAAAACATTTCGTCAGAAAAAACCCTGCTGCTTATTGCTGGCCTTCTTTTTTTCCTTTCCCCTTCCGCCATTCAAACCTCGCTCTTCCCGACTTTTCTGTTCCTTCTCATCCTTCCCCCTCCTTCCCTTAACTAACCATCACCATTCTTTAGAGGCTGGCGCCTCGAGTTTTGTCACCGTTGCCAGGGCTTGTTGCTCCGTTTTACCAGTGGACGTGGACCTAGAGGCAGCTCCCGCACCAACGCCCGTGACCTGCATTTGGATCTACTTCCTCCTGTTTCAGCTCCTATCCCCAAACAACACAAAGGAGCATCTCCCCCCCATCATCGCCATCACCAAAATTCATCCATCGCACTTGGATCCGAATCGTTTTTTCTGCGCTGAGCGGCTCCGGGAGCATTACTATTCACCATGGCGTACAATGGCCGTGATCAGGAGTACGGGGGACACCCGATGCAGGACATGCCTGGTGGCAGCGTGAGTGCACCTTTTTTTCTGCTTACGCCTCAAGCTCGCACATCAGATGGCGGAAGGACTAACTCTTACCGCTCAGCAGTATCACCTCCCCCCTCAAGAGAATGACGAGGAGCAGGGCCGTGGCCTCCTGAACTCTGGCTACGACCAAGATCGACTCGGCGCTCGTACTCCCCCCGACCGCCCCGTCTCAGCTTACAGTCTCACTGAATCATACGCCCCGGGAGCTTCGACGACTCCTCAGCCGGGTGTTGGATATGGCGAACACACCGGCAGCTTTGGCCAGTTTGGCGCCAACCTCGATCAGCCCGCCCCCTTTCCCAGACCCGACTCTGCCTTTGACGCCGAAGACAGCTGGGTTGAACGACAGCAGCAGCCCATGGGCATGGGCATGGGCAAGGGCGGTGGCCTGAAGCGCTTCAACACCCGAAAGGTCAAGCTCGTTCAGGGTTCCGTTCTCAGCATCGACTATCCGGTGCCCAGTGCCATCAAGAACGCTGTTCAGGCTCGCTACCGCGATGTCGAGGGTGGCAACGAGGAGTTCATGAAGATGCGATACACAGCCGCTACCTGTGACCCTAACGACTTCACCCTGAAGAACGGTTACGATTTGCGACCCCGCATGTACAACCGACACACTGAGTTGCTCATTGCCATTACCTACTACAACGAAGACAAGGTTCTACTTGCCCGAACTCTGCATCACACTATGCAGAACATTCGCGACATTGTCAACCTCAAGAAGTCGACTTTCTGGAACAAGGGTGGCCCTGCCTGGCAAAAGATTGTCGTGTGCTTGGTTTTCGACGGTATCGAGAAGGCCGACAAGAACACCCTTGATGTCCTAGCGACTGTGGGTATTTACCAGGATGGTGTCATCAAGAAGGATGTCGACGGCAAGGAGACCGTCGCTCACATTTTCGAATACACCTCCCAGCTTTCCGTCACCCCCAACCAGCAGCTCATTCGGCCCACCGACGACGGCCCCCAGACTCTGCCTCCCGTCCAGATGATTTTCTGCTTGAAGCAGAAGAACAGCAAGAAGATCAACTCTCATCGTTGGCTCTTCAATGCCTTTGGCCGTATCCTGAACCCCGAGGTGTGTATCCTGATCGATGCCGGTACCAAGCCTAGCCCTCGGTCTCTGCTGGCCCTCTGGGAGGGTTTCTACAACGACAAGGATCTCGGTGGTGCTTGTGGTGAAATTCACGCCATGTTGGGTAAGGGCGGCAAGAAGCTGTTCAACCCCCTCGTTGCTGTCCAGAACTTTGAGTACAAGATCTCCAACATTCTCGACAAGCCTCTCGAGTCTGCATTCGGTTACGTCAGTGTGTTGCCCGGTGCCTTCTCGGCGTACCGATTCAGAGCTATCATGGGCCGTCCCCTGGAGCAGTACTTCCACGGTGATCACACACTGTCCAAGATGCTTGGTAAGAAGGGTATTGACGGCATGAACATTTTCAAGAAGAACATGTTCTTGGCCGAAGATCGTATCCTGTGTTTCGAGCTGGTGGCCAAGGCTGGCCAGAAGTGGCATCTGTCTTATATCAAGGCTGCCAAGGGTGAAACCGATGTTCCTGAAGGTGCCGCCGAATTCATCTCACAGCGTCGACGATGGCTGAACGGTTCGTTCGCTGCCACTCTGTACTCGCTGATGCACTTCAGCCGATTCTACAAGTCGGGCCACAACATCATCCGCATGTTCTTCTTCCACATCCAGCTCATCTACAACTTCCTCAACACTCTCTTCTCCTGGTTCTCTCTCGGTTCTTACTGGCTTACAACTTCGGTCATTATGGATCTCGTGGGTACACCCAAGGTGACCAGCGGATCTCACGGCTGGCCTTTTGGTGACACTGCTACCCCTCTGGTCAACGCTCTGCTTCAGTGGACATATCTTGGTTTCGTTATCCTCCAGTTCATTCTGGCTCTGGGTAACCGTCCCAAGGGTTCCAAGTTTACCTACATTGCTTCGTTCATGGTCTTTGCTCTCATTCAGGGTTACATTCTGGTTCTCTCAGCCTACCTGGTTGTTCGCGCCTTCGACAAGCCCATTGGACAGCAGATCTCGTTCGCTTCCGGCCAAGAATTCCTCAACAGTTTCTTTGGTGGTGATAGTGCCGGTGGTGTCATTCTCGTTGCCCTGATCACTATTTATGGTCTCAACTTTGTGGCTTCCTTCATGTACCTGGACCCCTGGCACATGTTCCACTCCTTCCCCTACTACCTGGTTCTCATGTCCACCTACATCAACATTCTCATGGTCTACGCCTTCAACAACTGGCACGATGTTTCTTGGGGTACCAAGGGTTCCGACAAGGCCGAGGCTCTTCCTTCTGCCCACGTCACCAAGGGCGACAAGAACGAGGCCGTTGTCGAGGAAATTGAGCTGGAGCAAGAGGATATCGACAGCCAGTTCGAGCAGACTGTCCGCCGTGCCCTTGCTCCCTTCAAGGAGGAGGAGGAGGTCGAGAAGGCTGATGTCGAGGATGGTTATAAGTCATTCCGTACCGGTCTTGTCGTCACCTGGCTGTTTGGCAACATCTTCCTCATTCTCTGCATTACCAGCGATAACTTCGATGGTCTTGGTCTGGGCGTAAGTTTCTCTGTGATATGGTTTTATGTATCAAGTGCTAACGAATGTTATAGGAGGATGCCACTGCCCGAAAAGCCCACTACTTCCAGTTCCTTCTGTGGGCTACTGCCGTGCTCTCTATCGTCCGTTTCATCGGCTTCTTGTGGTTCCTGGGTAAGACCGGTCTCATGTGCTGCTTCTCGAGACGGTGAGCGCAACGGCGGGCTACGCACGTTGAAATCATCTACACTCGCATGTTTTGTGGGGGAGCCATGGATACGGAGGACATGGCGCTTGTCAAAGTAGATAAATTGGGTTGTTCTCGGATACCTCTACTGTGTAACGTTTGCTTGTTGTCTGTTTTGATTATTTAATGGAGGGCGAATCGAGTCAAATCGAATCAAAAAGACATATTTGATTGCGGCTGCGGCTGAGGGCATTGATTGAAACGGGGTTGGATCGGGATAGGTACGCACACACAGTTAAAGTGTATCTCTATGTAGTCTTTTCAGTTTGGCATCTGATCTGCCCTTGGGGGTTCATGACGCATTTGAATGATATGAGTTACTTTAATTTCGAGTGTTTTCGTAATGACTGACAACGTGACATGTAATCATTCTTCTTGTGAATTCGGCCAGTTGCTTCAGGAGGTGATGATAATTGGCCGCCTAGAGTTGAGTGGGTACACCCTGTGAGTTGGCTGGGCTCCAGTGGTATTCAGGCCGGGCGGCTGCCTTACGGCTGAGTTCCATATCTTATCAAGCATCATCGCCTTTTCGAGCCCAGCCCGCCCGCCGAGTCCGTTCTCGCAGCTTCTTACCAAGACAACACACGACTTGACGCTGACCTCGCCGTCCATATTTCCTGGCGTTTTCTCTGGTTTTGCGCATATTGAACTTTGTTTTACTCTAGACGTGACTGGGACTCGACTTGATCCCCTCTTTCAACTCGTTCACCGAATCCCACCCGACACAGCCCACCTACAAGGGCCCCCGCCGTCCACGATGTTGAAGATATGGTCGATGGTGAGATGACTTGCCGAGAAGCCTGATGGCGCGCACATGCTGACGCCCTCATAGAAGAAGGAGCAGAAAGAGGCGGAGAACGCTGAGGGCCAGGCCTCGGGCGGCAAGAAGAAGAAGGTGACGGCAGCTCAGCTGCGCGTGCAAAAGGGTACGTCCAGGCTTCCATGATGGTGTGTTTGGAGGGGTGTTGAAGGAGAATGACGAGACTGACCATATGGCGCAAACAGATTTGTCAGAGCTCTCCCTGGGTTCCACGATGAAGACAGAATTCCCTGACCCCGACGACATCCTCAACTTTGTGCTCACGATCGACCCCGACGAGGGCATGTACCGCGGCAGCCGCTTCACATTCGACTTTACCATCAACCAAAACTTTCCCCACGAGCCTCCCAAGGTCCGGTGCCGGGAGAAGATCTACCACCCCAACATCGACCTCGAGGGTAAGGTGTGCCTGAACATTCTCCGAGAAGACTGGAAGCCAGTCCTTAACCTGAACGCGGTGATAGTCGGACTTCAGGTATGACACTCTTAAACACTGCGAGAAGAATCAGCTTTGGAGGGTGGTGACTAACACGGCTGCAGTTCCTCTTCCTCGAACCCAACGCATCCGATCCCCTGAACAAGGAGGCGGCCGAAGACCTACGAAACAACCGCGAGGGATTCAAACGCAACGTCCGAACCGCGATGGGCGGTGGTGTAGTCAAGGGCCAGAGCTACGACAGAGTCCTCAAATAGATCTAGGCCACAAGAGAAGATGGGATACTTTAAGGGGAGAGGTTGGCTTGTCATGCGTCCTCGCAGACTTGGGGATGAAAAAAGACGGCTGAATGAATGTGTTGATATTCTCGGTGAAGCGTCTGACAAGGAACAAGCAAACAAGCATACAGGCGTAGGTATGCATCGCCCGGCGTCTTACGAGTCCATGATCTGGAGCAGGCATTGCTCTTTTCCCCCAGCGGCGTTTCGAGGACAGGGCACCATGCTCAGAAGGAGGAGGGCATGTACTGTTATTTGCCCGTGAGGGTTTGAGATGAGATTGAAGAAATATACTGGGCGGTTAAACGCCATCACCACTTTGAACTTGTCCGGTCGTGAAGAACGGGGTCTCGGACGGGATCGGGCCGTTACGCCTATGGCATACGCCGGATTGTCGGGGATTCGTTTTGTGTGTCTGCACACCGACATTGATGAGTAGCCAAAGGCATCACGTCCGTGGTCAGGGATGTAAGTATGCATGGTGAGAGTTGCATACCACGGCGGCTCCGCTAGAGGCTGGACGCACGCCGCATCCGTAATCCGGAGCAAGTGGATCAAGCCGGGGAGAGGGGACATCAGTCATTGTCCCGTCCTTTGACGTCCGGGCTCTTTGCAGAAAGGCTAGCCGGAGTAATGGACAATGCCCCGACATCTCGAACATGGCTCCTCACCCAGGAAAAGCCACATCCATGTGGGACATCAAAGACCCGTTTGATCTGGCCAAGGCCTCATTGGACACCGGTGGCGGAGGGGTTGGCATCGGACGACATGCGGCTGCTGGGGATGGAGCCCTCTCGGGGAGACTACACAGACTCCGGAAGCCTTGAGACCCACTGTTTCGCGTGCTCACCCCAGCCAGCATTAGCTCAAGTGCGGACAGCTTTTTTTTTGTGGTGAGGTGAGAGTGTGTTGTTCCATCGAGGGGCTTGCTGCCAGCGTCGATTGTGCCTCTACCACGTAATACAGAACTTGACACATATGAAAAAGCAACTCAATTCTTGTTCTTCAACTCGAATTGAGTATTAAATCTCCAATTTTAGGCGTTGTCATGGTGCAGAGACAAGCAACGACACCGGCTGCTGACGAACGCACGGAGCTTGGTAGGTTAGACAACTGAATCGCCACCCATTGGCCGCTCTAGACGTGACTCAAGCTGTGAGATCCCTGCGTTTGACCCAGCGGTTCTCCAGGTAATGGTCGTAGATACTTGCCATTGAAGACAAATCAGAGTGTTTAATCGTGTATACACTACTTGTCTGGCCCCAGACACTTTCCCCGCTGCTCGACGTGGGCCCCACAGCCCACCACAAGCCGAAATCGGTGAATCTGGCTTGCCCCCCCAAAGGGCAGGCACCTCGACTAGAAAATTTAGCTATACTTAACCTTTCTCCCCATCACCAAGTTTTTCTCGTCCTTCTCTTCTTCATTCTCTCTTCAGACACTCTCCCCTCAGTTCCACCTGATCCCCTCCAGTCACAATGGCCTCCCGCAGCTTCACCAAGACCCTCCGCGCCCCCGTGGCCCGCCAATTGGCCTCTGTGCCCCGCGTCCAGCAGCGCACCTTTGTTGCTGCTGCCCGCGCCGCCGTCCGCGTCGGTGCTGTCGCCCGCCCCGTCGCTGCCGGCCCTGCTCAGCAGCAGATCCGTGGTGTCAAGACCATTGACTTTGCTGGTCATAAGGAGGACGTCTACGGTAAGCTCTTCTCACGTCTTGGGGGCTTCAGAGCTACCCCACTTCACTCATCATGATACTGATCAGCTACAGAGCGTGCCGACTGGCCCCAGGAGAAGCTCCTTGAGTACTTTAAGAACGACACCCTGGCCCTCATCGGCTACGGCTCTCAGGGTCACGGCCAGGGTCTTAACCTCCGTGACAACGGCCTCAACGTCATTGTTGGTGTCCGAAAGAACGGCAAGTCCTGGAAGGACGCTGAGCAGGATGGCTGGGTTGCCGGCAAGAACCTGTTCGATGTCGACGAGGCCATCTCCCGTGGTACCATCGTCATGAACCTCCTCTCCGATGCTGCCCAGTCTGAGACCTGGCCCGCCATCAAGCCCCAGCTCGTCAAGGGCAAGGTAAGAGATGACCCCGCCCAACGCTAGTCATGTCACTGGACTAACAGTATCTTCAACAGACCCTCTACTTCTCCCACGGTTTCTCCCCCGTCTTCAAGGACCTCACCAAGGTCGAGGTCCCCACCGACATCGACGTCATCCTCTGCGCCCCCAAGGGCTCTGGCCGAACCGTCCGATCCCTCTTCCGTGAGGGCCGTGGCATCAACTCCTCCTTCGCCGTCTACCAGGACGTCACTGGCAAGGCTGAGGAGAAGGCCATCGCCCTCGGTGTCGCCATCGGCTCCGGCTACCTCTACAAGACCACCTTTGAGAAGGAGGTCTACTCTGACCTCTACGGTGAGCGTGGTTGCCTGATGGGTGGTATCCACGGCATGTTCCTCGCTCAGTACGAGGTTCTCCGTGAGCGCGGCCACAGCCCCAGCGAGGCCTTCAACGAGACTGTTGAGGAGGCTACTCAGTCCCTGTACCCCCTCATCGGTGCCAACGGCATGGACTGGATGTACGAGGCTTGCTCCACCACTGCCCGCCGTGGTGCCATTGACTGGAGCCCCCGCTTCAAGGATGCCCTAAAGCCCGTCTTCAACCAGCTGTACGACTCTGTCAAGGATGGCTCCGAGACCAAGCGATCCCTCGAGTACAACGGCCAGGCCGACTACCGTGAGAAGTACGAGGCTGAGATGCAGGAGATCCGGGATCTCGAGATCTGGCGCGCCGGCAAGGCCGTCCGCGCTCTCCGACCCGAGAACCAGAAGTAAACTGGGGTTTAATGAGTGTTGACGTGTGAGGGGAAGAAGGAAAGGAAAGGAAAGATTTGGGAAATGAACGGTCTTATGAAAACAAACGCATGAACTTTTGTACTTTAATTTCTGGGATCTTTGGGGGATCTAGGCTGGTCCAAAAGTTGATATCAGGCTCGGAGCCAAACGAATACCAATTTCTTATTGTTCAAATCGTTGTCCTCTTGATCTGTGACATTCACCTTGACTGAGGTAATCGCTGACTAGGGCACGCCCTTGAAAGACAACTGACTTGTAGTTGTGCGGGCTTTTCTTGGCAGACTCCAGTCGGTTTCCGAAAGAGGAAATCGAGAGCGACAGGTGGGTGGTTCCACTAAACAGGCACGTATACCGACAACCGGAGCATGATATATAAGGACTCATGTTGATGGCATAGACGTTGGATTCAAGCAAGCACATTCTTGACCTGAAACTTAACACTCGATATTTACAATCTTCATCATGGCCGACTTATCCACAACTCTTCCTCTGAACCGTGACTCAGTCATCGAAGCCCACAAGCTCATCAGCGACTTGGTCCACTTGACACCCGTTCTCACCAACCGCACCCTCACTGAACTGGCCTCGACGCCTCGCACACTCGATGGGACCAGATTCGAAGGTCGAACCCCGGCTCAGCCGGTACTGAGGCTCTGGTTCAAATGCGAAAACATGCAACGGATCGGAGCCTTTAAGGCGAGAGGGGCGTTTCACGCTGTGGAGAGGCTTAAACAGGAGCCTGGGTGGTTGGAGGGAGGGGGTAAGGAGAAGGGTGTTGTGACGCATAGTTCAGGTGAGAGAATAACTCCAAGATGGGATATTGGTATCGGACTGACTGGTTGTAGGAAATCACGCTCAGGCGTTGGCTTTGGCAGCTCGTGAGAGTGGCATCAAGGCGCATATCGTCATGCCTGAGATCTCCAACCCTAAGAAGGTTGCTGGAACAAAGGGATACGGCGCCAATGTCATCTTTAGCGGCAGCACAGCTCCAGAGCGCGAGGCTGTTGCAAACAAGGTTATTGCTGAGACAGGTGCTCGACTCGTACCGCCGTATGATCACCCGGACATTATGCTCGGCCAGGGCACACTTGGTCTCGAGTTTCAACAGCAGGTCACCGAGCTTATGACGACTGATGCTGAGGTCGACGGGCAGAAAAAGGTGTTTCGGGCTCCAGCTACGGGGAGGGACAACGCTGGACCGGGTGTGCCAGGGGGTAAGAAGGAGAAGCCTGGGTTGGATGCCATCATGACGCCTTGTGGTGGTGGTGGAATGCTCTCGGGTGTGGCTCTCAGCTGTGAGGGTACAGGCATTCGCGTCTTTGGTGCAGAGCCCTCCTTCGAAGGAGCTGACGATGGTAAACGCGGATACGAATCTGGCGAACGCATCACGGCAGTCAAGACACTCACAGTAGCTGATGGTCTTCGCACACCGGTGGGCGAGCACCCATGGTCCGTCATCTACAAACGAAAACTGGTATCTGGCATGTATAGCGTATCAGAAGAGGAGATACTAGCGGCCATGAGACTCGTATATGAGCGGTTCAAGCTGGTCGTCGAGCCGAGCGCCTGCGTTCCCCTCGCCGTGGCGCTGTACGATGAGGAGTTTAGGACCATGGTGGAGAAGGAGGCCGGTGAGGATGGATGGGATGTTGGGTTGGTGTTTAGTGGGGGGAATGTTGATGTTGATGCTCTTGGAAAGATGTTTGCTGGGGGGAAGTAGAGCGATAGAGACAGAATCCGAATACCTGTGCATTGTTTGATGAGCGTTATCATGCTTCTTTGTTCTTGCCACTATAAAGTCATGAATCGTATAATTAAATGTCTGCTTTTTATGGGAATATTATATACGGGGATGTATCGATGTATCCCTTGTTCAATCTCCCAACACATCTCTACGCTGTGTATTATCACTATGGCCTCACTGATTCAAAGCCTCGTCCATCGCCCGCCTCCACTTTGTCGCGTTCGTTCTCAGCAACCATACACTAGTGTAACTAACCAACAAGGCAAAGAAACAAATGGTTGTGAATACCCAACCCACGTTGATGGCGTTGATCCACGGCGCAGCTACAATGGCTCCAATACAAGAGAGAGTGTTTCTCACTAGATTGTTGAGCGCTGCCCCTGAAGATGTACTCTTTCGGATGAATTCTGTAAGCATGGTAGTCGCGCTGCTCTGTTGATACGGTGTTAGCCAAGTATCGCTGGCATGAGATCTGGTGTCTTACAAAAACGAGCATGGATGAGATTCCAAAGAAAAAGAGGGCGACACATGGCACTGGGGTGGGCAGGCCATATCTTAATGTCCAGCCAAACATGAGCAGTGCCAGCGGATACGCCGTTACCATGATCCAGGCATTCTCCCTCATCCGATCCTCAGGAAGATAGATGAGTTTCCCATTCTGGTCGTATCGATTTGCCTTGCGAGCCTCCCTCGCCATGATTCTGTCGATCCAGCGTCCGCCGCAGAGTGAGCCGACAATGTACCCAGCACCTGACGGAATATACAGCAGACCGAGGAGCAGTTGGCCATAGTTGTATGGGTCGCGGGTGAACTTTTGCTGGATGGCAATGTTTACCACATATAGCGAGCCAAAGGCAATGGCGGCGAGAAGCACAGTGATGAAGACGGCTGGGAAGCGTAGGTAGCGCACCACGAGCAGGGGATCGATCAAGAACCGACGAACGGTCTTGGCCATGCGCTTCGTCCTGACCTTGGCCGAGTCCATGGTACGCATTCGACTAAGTTCCTCGGTCGGTAGTGTCTCCTCAGGCCTGCGTCGCAGCAGTGTCTCGGGGAGGAAGAAGAGGATCATGAGCAAGACTATAAGTCCATAAATGGCGAGGAACCACATGGTCGCCTGCCAGCCGAGCTCCTGCGTCAGTACACCTCCGATGACGGGTGCGACCAAGGGACCTAGGAGTGGTCCGAGGTAGAAGATGCTCATTGCTCGGCCGCGCTCAAACACCTCGAACAAGTCGGCGATGGAGCCAGCACCGGTAGAGTGAGCGCTTGCTGAGGCACCTCCGGCGCACATGCGAAAGACGACCAGCATGGTGATGTTTTTCGATATAGCTGAGAGAACTGAGAATATGACAAAGAGGGTAAAGGAGATGAGGTAGATGGTTCGTCGGCCAAACTGCTCGGAGAAGGAAGACCACCAGAGGGGGAAGATGGCCATTGAGATCATGTACAACGCAACAGAAAGGTTAGTAACTGTTTCAGAGGTGTTGAATTCCCGGGTCAAGACAGGAAGGGCAGCTTTTGCTCGTCAGCACTCTATCGAGTTAACCCAAGGTTTAACAGGGGAAAGGCTTACGATAGACGATTGTCGATCCAAGTGGCGCCGCAGCCGTAGCTAGGGCAATGATAAAAGTGAGGCCCCATTTCGTCGAGTTTTTATAATCTGGGGGATAGGCAATCTCGGGGACTAGAGTGAGACTCCCAAACAGACCTCGTCTCTTGGAACGGGGAACGATGGATAACGGTCTCGAACGGGCGGAGGAAGCTCTTGAACAACTGCGCTTGACGGATCTTCGTGTGTCTATATGGCCTAACGGTTCACCAAGTGTGACGGGCTCAATGGCATCTTGTTCCTGTTGTATGGAGTCTGCGCGACTCTGGGTATGGCTTGAGCGTGATGTTGAAACTGTGGAAGTCGGACGTCGACCTCCTTGTTTCTCATCCACTTCACCTCGCTCGAGGCTGGATCTTGTCTCTGCCTTTTCGTCGATTCCTTGATCGACTTGTTCTTTGTCGTCACGGTCGGATCTCATGGTGACGTCGGTCGGCCCCGAAAAGAGAAAATGTGGGGACCGGTCTGCCGAACCCGGGCCCGGAGCAAGACGGAGCAAGAGAACGGGAAGCGGAAGTGTTTTTAGACTGCACGGCAGAGAAGATTTCAAAAAGCTACCGAATGAGAAATAGAACAGAGATCCGAAAAGTAATATTCATTCAAAGACGGGAGATGAAGATGTCAGATTTTGCCAAGATCTAGGTTGTGGTGGTGGGTAAGGGGGGTGGAAGAATGATCCCGGCCTTAAAAACAAACACGAAAAGAAGGGTGCCATTGACACGAGCCCGCATCTATCATTCCGCACCCTACATTTATTCCCCGGGGAAGAAAAAGAGTCAAGAGCAAACCGGTCCCGGCCAATGGTTAAAATGATTTTCCCCCATCCCTATCTCGGCAGCTTGAGCCGGGAATTAGCAAGTGTGGAGCGGATAATGTGGAGGGGGAACGCCGAGAGCGGTGCCGAAGGGGGGTGAGTGGACGGAAAAGCGGCATGAGATGGGGGAATAACGCGGGGGGCGGATGTATTCTTCCTGGGTTTTTAATTGAGTTGTCATGATTTGTATTGATGACATGTTAGTTGTCTATTGTGATTATGAGGTTGATGGTTTGTTATGAGAGCAACTTGACAAGATTGGGGAAATGGCCAAGAAAAAGAGTTGCTGTGAAAAGGCCTGTGCTGGAATTTTGAATTAATTAGCATCTCGCCCTTTGCTAACTACGCCTTGTCAAAAGTTGCGTGCTCTCAAGCATGGGAAGCGTTCCTGTATCGGAGGAGGTTTCCTATCCAAGTAGGTGTCGGCGGTCACGCGAGGGTGTGCATGTTGGGCATGCAATACGAGTGAGTGATCTGACAAGAGTAACACGTTGTAATATGTTTACAAAGAACTCGAGCATAATTCGTTTGTTGTTCGGCCTTGTGCTATTGCATTTGAGAATGTCACTACAAGAGTGTATATCATCAAAAGCTTCTCATACTTCACATTGCGAATGAAGCAATATGCACAAGTTACACAGCATAAGTGAGGACAATCTCTGTTCTTTTTTAAAGCCATTATTTTACAAGTTGGTTCTCCGTGTGTTAGAGACTTTCTTTGCTACACAACGTCCGACAATATACTGACTGCTTCACTTTAGCAACGGTAGAGTTTTATACCCCAGCCGCCGACATCGCTCCACTCTTAGATCTATGAAAAGTGTGAACTCATCAAGACAAAGCCAGCTATGAAATAGGAAAAAAATACCTATAAATGTCGATACTTGTAGAGTCTAACCTACAACTAATGCTTTTAGAGTACCTATCTAATCACTTTAACATCGTAATGCCTCTCTCCTACTGGTCCTCCCAAACCCCGGAAGCTATCCCGTACTTCCAATAGATGGCGGGGTGCATTTAACCCCACCAAACCACCTGAGTCACTTTAACTACCATCTCCTCCATATCAACCACTCACTCACCACCAAAAAAAAAAGAGCACATCACCAACCATCACAATGTCCCTCACAAACGCCTCCCCCGAGGCCGCAGCCAGCGCCGCAAAGACAGCCTCCTTCGCCCTCGCCACCCTCCCCGCCTCAGCCCGAAACAGCGCCCTCGACGCCATCCACGCCGCACTCACGGCATCCAAGGACGACATCATCGCCGCCAACGCTCGTGACCTGGAGCTCGCCGCAAAGGCTGCTGCTGATGGTTCTCTTAGCCAGGCTCTTGTTTCGCGGTTGGATTTGGGCAAGAAGGGCAAGTGGGAGGATATGCTCAAGGGGATTCTCGATGTGAGGGATCTTGAGGATCCAGGTTTGTTTCTTATTCTTGTGTTGTTGAGCTTGAAATGCTTACTTTTTTAAAAGTTGGTCAGGTTCAGATGAGGACTGAACTTGATAATGATCTCGTCATGGAGCGTGTCTCATGCCCTATCGGTGTCCTTCTCATCATCTTTGAGGCCCGACCCGAAGTCATCGCCAACATTGCCTCTCTTGCCATCAAGTCTGGCAACGCCGCCATTCTCAAGGGTAAGCCTCCCCCTATCATGTCAACTCATATAACTCACACCTCATAGGCGGAAAGGAATCCACCGAGTCCTTCGTCGCCATCTCCAAGGTCATCTCCTCAGCCCTGGAGACAACTCAGGTTCCCAACTCGGCCATCCAGCTCGTCACCACCCGCGATGCCATCGCTGAGCTCCTTGCCCAGGATCGTTACATTGACCTTGTCATCCCCCGTGGCTCCAACGAACTGGTCCGCTATATCAAGGAGTCGACAAAGATTCCCGTCCTCGGCCACGCAGACGGTCTTTGCCACATCTACCTAACCGCCTCGGCGGACAAGGATAAGGCCATCACCGCCATCGTCGACTCCAAGACCAGCTATCCCGCTGCTTGCAACGCCGTTGAGACTCTCCTCGTCCAGGATACCGCTTTGACTACCGTCTTCCCCGGTGTTGCTGCTGCTCTCGCCGCCAAGGGCGTTTCTCTGCGTGTCGACGAGGCCAGCAAAGCCGCCATTGCCTCCCTCTCTCTCGAGGGTGTTCAGGATGTCACGGCCGAGGACTACGACACGGAGCATCTCTCCCTCACCATTGGCGTCAAGGCCGTCTCTTCCCTCGACGAGGCCATCACTCACATCAACACTCACGGCTCTCACCACACCGACGCCATCATGACCTCTGACTCGGCCGAGGCTGAGCGGTTCATGAACGAGGTTGACTCTGCCGGTGTCTACTGGAACGCCGCTACCCGTCTCGCCGACGGCATGCGTTATGGCTTCGGTACCGAGGTTGGTATCAGCACCAACAAGATCCATGCCCGTGGACCTGTTGGTCTCGAGGGCTTGACCATCTACAAGTACAAGATCCGCGGTGACTACCAAGCCACCGCTGACTACGGAGATGGCGAGGGCAAGAGGCCATGGAAGCACCAGAGACTGCCCCTGTAGTTAGATACCAGGCATTAGGCCATCCTGCAAAAATGACGGCGTTGGGTTAATAAAAGCTTGTTGAATCCTCTTGAGCATTTACATCTTGTTCTTCGCCCTTGTTCGACCTATCCCAGATGGCACTGCTCGTCGCGATGCTCATTTCATTATGTATTGCGTAATGTTCATGTCCACAGCATTGTAGACCGATCCTTTCATCCCGGCTTTACAAGGTATACATGCTAAGACAATCCCGAATCTCTTTTCGCCATCCCGCACGCCCTAGAACCGCAGTCTTCATCTTCACATTCCCATGTTCTCGTACTCCTTAATCATCTCCTTGAGCTTGTTGCCCTCCGAAGTAAAGTCAAGGGGCATAGCACTCATCACTTGATATCGTATCCTAAATCACCAATGTTAGTATCTCACACACTGTCAGGGATCACAGCAACGTACCTCTGTGCCTCGCCAAAGTTGTCCATCTTTGCTCTGCAACGGAACGTGAGCTTCTTGCAGTTGGCCTCCTCAAATGCCGCCGTGAACTTGGTTGGGTCATCAGACTCCTTCAGCTCCATCATCTCATTGGCTGTGCGACCCAGAATCTTCTGGCCAGAATCATCGAAGCAGCTGAGCCATTGGTGGCTGGTGTGGTCGGCCACGTTAAGAGATAGAATGTATCGGTATTCCGGCTTCTCGTGCGACACGTTGCACTTCTCGCAGTGCCACGTGCCATCTCCCATCTCCGTCACCTTCTTGTTACAACCCTGGGAAGCACAGGCTGGGTAGCAAAACGTGTCTTGCTTCATAAAGACGATGGTCGCCTTGATGGTGTAGTAGGCCTGGTCATCCATGCCAAGGTTCTCATCCTTGACCTGAGAGATGGTCTTGATCTCGTCCTTTCGGCCAGTGGCGTTGCCCATGCTCGCCATGCCCTGGTGGGTGGCAAAAGTGTCTGTTCGTCCAGCGGAGTCATACCATCCCTTGAGCCGGTGAGCATCAGCAATGTCGGGATCAACACTCATTGTGCCGGAAGAAAGAAGACTGAGACTCTTTCCACCAAAGTCGGATACCTTAGTGCCCTTGAAGGCCACCACAGACTCGGCGGGGGCGTCGAATGAGTTGGCTGTCTTGCCCCAAACTGTAACACGGACTGAGTAGCCAGTATCATCCACGAGGGTTAGCTCTCGCTTCTGGAAGGGTCGGCCGTCCTTCTTGGATACAATCTCTCCAATCTCGCCGACCTCCTTGAGCACACCGATGACATCGACGGTGTTGTCCTTCTCCACGCTCTGCAGCTCCTGGATGGTGCAGAAGTTGAACCTCACCTGAGGCACATTGGTCTGGTCCTCGGCCTTCTCAATGACTGTATCCCGCTCAAAAGCAAGCTCGTAGTCGTTGGGAAGGTTGGAGAATTGCTTCTTGGCCAGTGACACTCGGCAAGGAGTGGAGATGTAGTAAACAGAGCCCTCCTGCAGACGGTCATAGAAGGCATCGCACTGCTCGTTGAAACCAGTAGCCTTGATCTCACCACTCTCATCCAGAAGGTTGACGCTGAAGAGCTTTCCCTCGCCTGTAGCCTTGTGCCATGTCTTGATATCTGACTTGGAGGTGACTCGAGCCTTGATGGTCCACTTGTGCGCAAAGGGCGACAGGCCCTCGATGGGGTAGATGTTGCTGCCACCGTGCATGGCTGGTCGTGAAGGCATCGACTGCTGCTGTTGCTGCTGCTGCTGGAATTGTTGGGGCTGTGGCTTCTGTTCCTCCTTCTTAACACCGTAGAAGTCTCCTCCGGCGATGGCACCCTCCTGACCGGGTGGCTTTGCGTCGACCGCGACCGGTTCGCCAATTTTGTCCTGGATGCCAAGGGATTCGACGACTTCGAGATCGAGGATGACAAGAATACTAGATGTGGTCAGAAGCAGTCGAGACGACGGTGAATCACAAACTCACTTCTTGCCCTTCAGGTTGTTAGGAGTGTATTGCTTAATCCGGGCAAAGCAGCCTCGGACGAGCTTGTTGTCGCGAACGACATGGTTGGCCTGTGTAGCAAGCATGGTCTGAACGTAATGCTG